TCACACACACACACACACACACACACACACACACACACGGCAGGGGGTGCAGAGAAGAAGAAGGGAGAGAGGGCGGGCAGATGGGAGGGAGGGAGGGAAGGAGAGAGGGGGAGAAAGATGGGGAGAGGGAGAGATGGGGGTAGGCATCAGAAAAGCAGGGAGAGGCCCTGGAATGGAGAATGGAGAAGAAAGCAGAGCAGGAGACAAATGAGAAGGGAGAAAACCAGAAGAGAAGGAAAACGTAAAGAAGCTAAAAAAGAGTAGCGCCCTAAGAGCAGGAAAGAGACGCACGGAGCAAAAGAGGACTCGGACAAGAGATCCAGAGGACCGAGAAAGTCCGGTGAAGAGAACCTGGGGACTGACTGGTCAGCAGCAGCGAGGTCAGAGATGCAGAAATTTGTCCGGAAAACTTGCACCCACACTCCTGTTCCCTCCTGGGTTTACGCCTGTCCCTTACCCTTCCCGAGTCTGCAGGCAGGGCAGACTGAACTGAGAGGGAGAAGACCTAGCCTCGCTGTGACTCTAGCCGGGAGCCAGCAAGGGGGAGCACAGCCTGCAGGGCTGCAGGGACCACAGGGACTCTCCGGGTGTAACTAAGATAGAGGAGACCGCGGGGACCTCAGGGACGCTTGGGGACAACGAGGACTGTGGCGGCGACCACAGGAAGGCATGGGGACCACAGGGACTCTCCAGGGTATCCCTTGGATAGAGGGGACCACGGGGACCTTAGGGATTCTCAAGGAGAGATGGGTTCGCAGTGATACTCAGGGAATGCTTGGAATCCAGTGAGAGAAGAAAAGGGGCTTCGGGGATGCTCCAGGGAGGAGCATAGGAAGCAGTCCAGCCTGGCCTCCGGACTGAGTGCGGTAGGGACCTCGGTCGTTCTTCTGCTTCTGAAATTCCCTTGGCTGAAGTGTTTCAAGACCAGAAAGCTGGGATCTCTCCTAGGGGTTGCGCTGCTGCGGTAACGCGGCGCCTGGGACTGGAGGACTCGGGCGAGGTTGAGCATTTGCACTTTTGTCCTACAGGTGGAGCTCTTACCCGACAGAGACCCGGACAACGACGGGACCAAGATAAGTGTGAGTGTCACAGGGACAAGCGACAGGGGGCGCATGCTTTAGTAAATGGCCAAAAAGACCGAAGGTGAACATTAGTACAAAACAGATTTTAGATTTAAATCCTTTTAATTCATTGAGCCCGAAGAGATAATTTTATAAATTCAGGATGAGAGGCAGTTGTCTTTTTTTTTTACCTTATTAAAGACCTAAAAATTGAGCCTAAATTTAGAGTCCATGAATAAAATTGCATGTTTTAATCATATAAATAATTATAAATTGGCTAGACTATTAATTTGCTAGCCAATGAGATTAGTGCGCTGTTTTTCTTGCTCTTTTTTCATAGTCACCTAAGTGTAACAATGAAGGTCTGCAATACTTCAATATTAATAATGTTAATAATTCAAAGTAATGGGAGTACCAACTCTTAATAGGAAATAACAACCTCAGGAAAACAAAAATGAAACCATCCAATAGGATTTTTGAAATGTAATGAAACAATATGACTCAAGTTGGATATCATTCATAACTCCTATAAAATATTTATAAATCTAGTATTCAAATAAATCACAAAAATATGAAACCAAAGCAGATATAAATCTGCACTTGCTGTTAGGCCAAACCGACCTACTGACAACATGACGATGAGGTTAATTTGTCATAATTACATTTGTAATGACTAGAATATCCTTCTTCATCCTTCATTTCTGTGTTTATAAAATCAATCAAATCCTTAAACTTGACATATTTGTGTGATCTTCTAGTCTGTCAATCATAGATTAACATGTGATATATATCAAATTAACTGTTCTGATGACATATATATATTTCATATACATTAAATGGAATGCATAGTACATTTTTAATATTATACATTAGACACATGATCTTATTCTTAATCTGGGGTAAAATTACTAGAATAAATAAAATTGACTTGTTTTAAAAATCAAATCATTGTCCAATTAATAGCATCACAAGTTTGTATAATGACATAAGCATATACAACGAGCCTCGATTTCAGATGCCATTTCTCTGTAGCCTGAGCCCTGCTATAGGTAACTAAGAAGAAAAATATTACTATCTAAGTCTATTATCAGTGCCTTTGCATCCTGTTTTCAAATTGTTATGACCAACTTTTTTTTTTTGGCCCTGGTTTTGAGGGAGTTGTCTTGTAGCCATAAAAAAAGAAAAATCTATCCAGAAATGGACTCCTTCCTCAATGTTTCATTCAGCTGAGTTAACCAGGTAGAGGCCAATCCCGTGTTGGAAAAATTGACAGGGCTATTAGAGGAATCTGGGAAATGTGGACAGCAGGGCCACTCTGGCACTGCTCAAATTGAGCTTATGACCGATAAAGTATGTGGATAACTGTTTGTAGAACAGGATGAATATGACCTTCAGATTTGTACTATGAAGCCATTAAGACCCTTTAATCCCAACATTAGCAAACTTAAGATAGTGTGAATAAAACCCTTTGATGTGAAACTTTGTTTTTCACCTGCGATTTTTCAGACAGTGAAAGTCCAAGGCAATGACATCTCCCACAAGCTTCAGATTTCCAAAGTGAGGAAAAAGGATGAAGGTTTATATGAATGCAGGGTGACTGATGCCAACTACGGGGAGCTACAGGAACACAAGGCCCAGGCCTACCTGAAAGTCAATGCCAACAGCCATGCTCGGAGGATGCAGGCCTTTGAAGCCTCACCTATGTGGCTACAAGACATGAAGCCTCGAAAGAATGCATCATCAGTGGTTCCCAGCAGCATCCACAGCTCTGCCAACCAACGAACGCATTCCACCTCCAGCCCTCAAGCGGTAGCCAAAATCCCCAAACAAAGTCCACAATCAGGTATGGAAACCCATTTTGAGCCTTTCATTTTATCACTCACAAACCTCCCACCAAAAGGTCAGTTGAATAGCATAGACAGATTAAAGTTAGACGGCTTTTCAAATAGGAGACCGAGTTCGATTGAAATGAGGAGACATGAGCCATTGAGAGCAGGAGGCTGGACGTTCAGGATGAGTTTGCTCCATTAGTCCCTGGCACTGGTTCATATCCAGGGAACTGAGAGCTGGACTCTTTTATTCTCCCCCTGCTTTCTGTATTTACACATTATAAGAACAATAAATCATGTAATGTTGGTTACATTATAAAGGCATGTTCATTTTCTCTACAGATTTATGTATCAATAAGGACCCAAATTAAGAGGCTTTCACTTAATCAAAATGGAAATGAAAAAGAGTCATCATAATCATCCATATATTTAGTGACCTATGGCTTTAAGCAGAACTATTCTCCAAGGGCTTTTGATTTTGAAAGGGAAACTTCAGCTGCCTCTGATGAAATTGATGGTGATAATGGCAGGAAGTGAGGAGGGGGGGAAGGAAGTGGTGCAGAGATAAGGCAGCTCCTACAAATGTGCCGTGGGTGCCAATTTGGAAGCTTAGTCACACGTCTCCCGAATCAGCTGTGCAAGTTAAAGTGATTCTGAATGGTGTTAACTTATACAATCATTCCACCAATGGAAACTCACTGAACTTCTAACCTTGATGTGGGATCAAGGCTGTCGGGATTGAGCAGTTGTGTACAAAGACCCCCTGTCCTATTTTCTCAAATGCTTTGCCTAAAATAGGATTACAGCAACATCCTTTCTTAAGCACGCATCTGATACAATGGAATCACTTGATGTGGTGATTTATTGGGGGTTTTTTTCACCTGCAATTTTTCAGACAGTGAAGTAAAAAATAATAATTCCCACCAAAAGCTTCAGATTTCTGAAGTGGGGCAGAAGGGTGAGGGTCTGTAGGAGTACAGGGTGGCTGGTGCCAATGATGGGGAGATAGAGCAGCACAGGTTCAGGCCACCGGAAAGTCATTGGCAATAATGGGCAACGCACACCTCTAAATCCTTGCTTGTTAACAATGTTTAAAAAGAATAGATGTGCCAGGTCTGAGGGTATAACTCAGTGGTATAACACTTGATTAGTTTGTATAAAACCCTGGATTCAATCTCCAGCATCACAGAAAAATAAATCAACCAATCAATCAATAAAAACTAATAAAATAATGCATGCCAACGTGCATTTACTCTTTATGCATTTTGTTTGAATAAATGTGATGTAAATTCTACAGGATGCTCAGCTAGGGTCCTGTGAATTTCTATTGCTTTAAATGCTGAAGAGACTCTTCCTGTTAGGTTTCAGTCCTGGTAACATACAGTCTACTAAGTGACAATTAAGCTTTTCTGAAGCTTAAGTTTTTGTGGGTTTGTCTCATTTCTCTCCTTGTGATCTCCTTTGTTTTCCAAATTCAAGAACAAAGCTAGCAGAGCTAATGCCTATATATCAATTACAAGTTTTAACTATTATTATTTTTCAAAGATTTCATGCCTCTTGAGGTTGTGACCCTTCCATCTTTCTTTACATTATAACACCAAGAAGCTAAACACTACCTGTAGAATGACAGAGCATCCTCAGCAGTCAATTTACAACATAATTAGTGAGAACTACAAACCCTGGAAGAGAGGTTATTAGCATACATAGAATATTCCAAGGTAGACACCATAAATCCATCTGAGATTAAGTCAAATGGAGCAATTAGTCCATGTGAATGACTAAGGAGAATGAAGTGTTCTCTTTCTAAAATATCTTATTCATTTCATGGTATAAAATAATATATTTTTAAAATATCTACTTTATTTTGCTATGTCTCCTAGAGCTATGATGGAAACTAAATTTTCAAGTACAGTTCTGCTCATTTTGCACCTTCCCATCAGTCTTCTTAGGTACAAAGTTGTTTTTCCTAAAAGTTAAAGGGAGAGGAGGATTTTGTCTCCTGGAAACCTCCATCCACTAAAAGCTTTGTGCACCACCCCCTTCCTGATCGTAGCAAAGACGGGCATAAAATATATCAGAACATTCAACATTTCTTTTTCTCCCAGATGATATTGAAAAATCTTTCATATATTTCTAGCAACATTCTCTAACATCTCGTTCAGCAGTTAAGGTTTCCCCGTCACTCTAGCATATTGTGTAAGTTTATGCTTTTAAGATGATTTTATATAATACAGTAATTGGGATGATAATTGCATATTACATTCATTATATATGTGATAGCCATATCCCAGTTGATAATAAAACTTATTTCAACTCTTCATTTTTTATTCACTTATTTACCTCTCATCTCTTCAAGGCATGACAAACACAGGCACACTTCCTCCCTCTACTGTTCAGTTTGACATAAAGAATGATACTCATTGACTCCATATAGTGTGCAATTTTTATGGTGAAGACATAAAAATTAAAATCTTGCTCTGAGTGGTAAAGGGCTATGCTAGCCTTTCATATTTTATCAACTGATACAAGGGGGCCTAGCATATATGGCATGGTCATATTAACCTGTGCTATAATAAACTAATTTATTCAGCCCTTTATTTTTATTACATTCTTTGGCTCAATTGACTAGCTTCACAAACTCAACTCTAAATTCATACTATTTTCCTGTCAAATAATTTCTCTATCTTTATGAAGGAAACATATTAGCTGAAAATAGCTTTATATAAAAATCTTCAAATTGTCTTAAAAATTCATTTAACTCTGAAGCAAAATTAACATGAAAAGGAAGAGGGAAAAGATAACCTGTGACATTCCTTATGCAACCAGATGTAGGTTTGATAATAATTTAGTGGTCCTGGTTTGTTTGTTTGTTTTCAAAAATTCCCCAAAGCTAGTTACTATATGCTGTCCTTGCTTGCTTGCAAGCATTTTCTTTCTCTTTATAAATTGTGTTATAAATGACAAACAATTATAAATCCCTAACATTTAACGTTATTTAAATTTTATTTTCATTTAATAATCAGCAATTAGAACAAATCAGCAAAAAGAAAATACAATGCAGATAGATAAACAAAACTTTCTTACAAATTTCTCATCTTCAGTTCTTTAGAGCCCTCTCCAGTTCTGTGTGCCCAGGACAGAAGCAGTTCATATCAAACCCATCATATTTTTGTCCTGTTCTGTTTCGTTTTTATTATACACAAAGCTTGCAAAGAAAAAAGCTATCAAATATAATACATGAGACAATTAAAAGCTTGGAATTAGAATGTAAAGAAATGTTCTACAGCTATTCTGAGGAGGAAGGGCCCTCTTTCTTCCTGTCGGAATCAACAAAGGCCCCCTGGGACTTCTCTGACAGGAGACTGGGGGCACCAGAATGGGAAATCCAGGACCTCTGTCAGCATAGAAGGGCTTAGTTCCACGTTCCAGAAAGTTGAAGACTTACTCTAGCCCCCTCCTCCCTCCACCATATCCCTGAATAATCAAACGCACTAACCTTGCTTTGTTTTTGCACCCTGTCTCCTCCATTCCTCACCCCCAATCCTTCAGAAGCTAACCTTCTCCTACACTGACCAAATCCGCTTGCCTCATTTCTCTTGTTTCCTTATCTTCTGCTGACCATTCCAAGCAACCTGACAAACAGGCAAATAAAACCAGCAGGAAGGCATGCCCTGCTTCTCTGTTCTCACTGGGCAGAGCCAGATCTCTGAGTATTTGCCCAGCTGATGCCAGTTCCTCCCAGAAGGGCAGTACTATGCTCTGTCCCCCTTCTCTGACCTCAGTCTCGTGGAATACTGCTCCTTTGTTAATGCTACTGCTGATGTGTCCTGAGAAGTTACTGGTGTCTATTGAACATTCCTTTGTAACTCATCCTTTCCAACATCTAGACAGCACTGGTTTCCACCCATTTCTGACATTCTGACCTCTCTTGCACAGAGACTGGCTCCCTGTTCCTTGCCCCTCTGCTTTAACAAACTAACAAAGTTTGGGGAAGTTATGCTATTCCAATTCCAGGCCTTACAAGGTCCCAAAGCCTCTGTCCTCACCTCTGAGAAGCCAATCACCATGAGGAAGCCATCTTAAACAACCATCATCCCCAGCCAATATCTAACCTCAGCTCTAATTCTATCTCCTGACAAGCAATGTCCAGCTTAGCCCAGGCATCACACACAGCAGTAAGAGATAAATATTAACTACCATTTTTTCAAGACTTGGCATGAGGGCATTTCTTTCACAGTAGTAGATACCCACATAGGCCACTGAAACTCAGGTGTTCAGAGCTATCTGTTATTATCTGAGCTTATTCATTAAAAAGAAATGCCCTTCCTCCTGTTTCCAAACATCTAATAGTATCATCCTGATTGTGGCTCCTGGGAAAACTTTGGAAATGTCTTCTCTTTCTCTCTTTCAGTTGCCAGTTCAATTCATTATTTTGTCCCAAGAACTTTCTCCCCAAGATGGACTCCTGAAAATTGCATTTTTTTCTGTTCTACAAACATTGATTTTATTTTGAACATGCCCTCCTTGCTTTCCTTATCCTAAAGCTCTTACGAGCCTGTGTTTCAGTTCTAATGTAAGGAATGTATCACAACAGTCCATGTGTTATTTCTAAGAGCCATCATTTCTACAAAAAAAGAAATTATTTCTGAAGTGCCCACCACTAACTTTTATAGTCTCATTTCCTATTTCTTAAGTCAGAATCCTGGCCCTTACTCTTCATGCTTAGTATTTCCTGAGTGTTTCCAGGTATTCTCTTGCCTCTATAACCCTACAAATGTTTTTCCCCCTCTGTATGGGTCTTTCCTTGATTGTGAATTCCTATGTTATCCCTCTATACTGCTCTCTCCTGCCCCCTGATCAGGAAATAAACTTCTTTGTTTCCCCAGGCAGGTCTCCTCCATCACATTGGTCAGACTTGCTGTGAAGCCAATGCTGTACTTTATATTGTAAAACATGCCTCTTTCAGCTCTGTAAATCTCATGTTCAGGCCAGCTAGGACATGTGCTACACTAAC